AAAAGGAAGGAATCCAATGAAGATGGTGGAAACTATGTTGTATTATACTTAAAGGAAAATATCCACTTGCACAGGAATTAAAGCATGGAAATCCTGCTGAAAGTATTTGGGTAAGAATAAAAGGAGAGAGGAATAAGAATGGCTCATCAAAGCCATTTAATATAGAGCACTAAATTCTCTGATAAGGTAAATTCAAAAATCAGGTCCTTCCCTCTTCAAAAAATGTTTTTAAATTACTAAAACTCCTCAGAATAAAACATCTTTTGCAAAGTAAAGTTTTATGTTATATCTTTTGCAAAGAAGAGGAATTGCAAAGAAATTTGCAAGCTGGTTTGGGGGAAGCATTGATTCCAGGCTGGTTTGTTTCAGCATATATATTTTTATGTTTTCAAAGACGAATAGCTCTTACTAAATTTAATCCATTGGATCAATTTCCTATTGGAACTCAAGTTTGGTAATATTCCAAAATAATAATGATGCAATATGAACTTAATATTTAGTTGAAGGTAAAGTAAAAAGTAAACAGTAATGAGGGAGGAATTTCAACCGAGGTAACAAATTTAGGAAAGAGTGCACCAAATGTGTATTTGGCAAGTATTCCTGTTTTATTTTCCTAATTGCAATTTGGCAATTATTTGAGACTTTAAAAAATCAGCAGCAAAGGGTCAGTTAATAATGTCATCAGAGGAAATAGCTACACTGTGCTTAATACTAGAGCTAGCTCTGTTCAGAACCTTCGTAGATCAGTACTATTACAATCAAAAAAGAAAGCCTTGGAAAAATAACAGGAGCTTAATACCACCACAGTGCCCACTACTAATATCTATTCTAATTTTTTTTAAAAAAAATTATAGTATTTCTTTTCCTAGTGACCTAAACCACGCAAGAGTCTGAAGCTTTACGAAGGGACATCCCAGAGGTCTGAATCAAGACTATGACTCAAAAAGCTTTAGATATGAGCCCCTACCTCCTGACAAACCCACTTGTATGCACAGTACATACATCAAGCAAGTTAAAAAGTACTATGAAAGGAAGTGCTTTCTTCAAAATACAGCTCAACCAAATACCAAGATAACATAAACAGAGAATTTAGATGGTCTTTGTTTAACTTGCCTGATACATTGTAAACTATTTAATCCTGGAAGATTTTGCTATATTATAAACCTTTCTATACAGAGATTAGAAGTATGTCACTTATTTTCTTTCAGAAATCCATCTTGTTCCTTGTGCTCCTACTGCTGTCCTAGCAGCTTCCAACAAATGCATTCAAAAGCCTTAAATCCTTGTGGGTGGTGAATAATTTCTTTTGTTGTAAATGATGTGTGCATCAGCTTTCTTCACTTAGTTTATTAGGCAGCATGTTTTCAAGGCTACATTCAGAGCTACATTACAAATATTTTAAACGTAGGCAAGTCAATCCCATCTTAAACGATCCCTCATGTAAGAGATTGCAGTTTGGGGTCATGCCTGGATCTCCTACCTGGAAACTTTTCTTTAAAAATATAGAAATTAGATTAGTTTGTTCAAGACAATATAATCCATTTTCAAATGAATATTTTCTGCTTCCCTGGATCCAAAATCAAGAGCCAATGTGTCCCTGATTGTATGTTCACTTGTGAGCACTATTGATTTAAATAACAGAGAAATTTGGAATTCTTTTAGTCCTTTAAACATTATTTCTGCTGTTGCTCATACAACCAGAAGCAAAGGGGGAGGGAGGCTTACAATAGAAGTGTAGGCAACATTGTGAACTGTAACCAAAATGTTTCTCCCAGAACACATTGGAGCATTTTGTTTCATATGCTATCCCAGTTAGCTCCAACACTATTTTTGAGACAAACGGGCAGTCTTTTTTCTAACAGTTGATTTGTTCCCACATTATTAAGATTTATATTTGCTGACAAACACATAGTAAAATCCCCTTAATGTCATTTCCTAGAGTAAGAATGCAGGGAAATGCTGCTATTCTGTGGCTTCCAGAATTCATTCCTATTTATTTATTTACTTTATTTATTTTAATTTATATACTACCCATCTCACTCTGAAAGCGGCTCTATTACAAATGTGTTCTGTCTATGTGTTTCTGCTTTTCATGTTACATCTGTTTTAGGTGTATATGTTTACTGAAGGATGTAGTGGGCTGCAAATACCCACTTTAGCTCATAGGGTGAGGAGATGGGGTTTTAAAAAATGAAACAGTCAACATCTCCCCAAAAAGCAACCAAAGAAAAAAACAATGATCCAATCAACAATGGTAGAACAAGCTGCTATATATAAACAGACAGCAAACTCCACTCCCTACTGTACTAATTATGTCACTTGGCCTGCTAATGAAATATCTGAAGGAAGAGAAATTTTTGAGAACATCAAGGACGCTACATATGCAACTCTTCTTGAACAACTAGCACTGTTTAAAGGAAGGAGCGCTGCAACACAAAAATGATTTATACCTCAAAATGCTTGTTGTCCTTTGGTTATATTGAAAGAGTTAGTTCTATATATTCTGCATTCATGGCATAAGTGATGCATAAAATGATGTATCTTGTCCACCTGATGAAAACTAAAAGTTCTAAACTGACTTACTGTATGAAGGCCACCAGTTCTATTATCTAGACAAATAGACCTTAAAATTAACATATTATAAAGGATTTATATTATTAAAAATTAAATTACAGATTCACACCTGCATTAAGAATTCTTTCTGTTGTAAAAAAAGATTTCCTTGTTTTATGGCTAGCCAAGCCAAGAAAAAATATAAAATGGTACTGCTGGGGAGAGTCATTTTGGTTTCCTTTTATTTAATAGTTTGATGAGAATAACAGAACTGGGGCAAATTCATTCTTAAAAGTCTTTCTGAAGATTTATACTAACACAGAGCAAATGCTACTTATACAGCAATGTAATATAGCAAAATTTTAATGAATCCTTCAAACATGCATGTTTGATTGACACAAAATCAGGAACTGAATTCAAATTCCTTTTCATTTAAACAATATTTTAAAAATATTAAAAGTGAGATCAGACAGGAAGCCTGGGACAGGGTAGCATCCTGTTCACTCTGATTTAGTACTGAATAAAGTAAAAGATGCCTGCCATGAAGAATTAGATTATAGCAGCGGATCTTTTGCTTTTTTTTTTCAAGAGTGTGTAGAAGATAATATTTAAACTTTAAATATGTATGACATTCACCCAAGAGAAACATTGCTTTTTACTTTTATCAGTGAAACAAGTCCACCCCAAAGGCAGCATTTCTGCACTTCTTTAATTTGCTCCATACTTCTGTGATTCCATTTTGCTGATTTTGTCAGCAGCTGGATCCTTTTTCCTCCCAACTGAGCTGCCAAATACCATAAATCACTACTCTTCTGATTTTATACTTAGGATTGTTCATTTTCCCATGACAACAATTCCTGTTTCCTGGGTCTCACCCCATGATTGGAAGCAGCATTTCACCAGCTTTCAAGACGTGGTCTTTCACACTGTGCAGAAGGATGGAATTGTGAAGGCTTTTCATGCATCACACCTTGATTGTTTTTAGAACATAGAACACAGAAGGGTTGGAAGGTTCTTGGAGGGTTTGAGCAGGGGTTGATTTAGTCCAATCCCCTGCTTAGGCAGGAAATCCATACCATTACAAATGAATAGAATAGAATAGAATAGAATAGAATAGAATAACAGAGTTGGAAGGGACCTTGGAGGTTTTCTAGTCCAACCCCCTGCTTAGGCAGGAAAATCTACACCACTTCAGGCAAATGGTTATCCAACATCTTCTTAAACACTTCCAGTGTTGGGGCATTCACAAGTTCTGGAGGCAAGTTCTTCCACTGATTAATTGTTCTGTCAGAAAATTTCTCCTTAGTTCTAAGGTGCTTCTCTCCTTGATTAGTTTCCACCCATTGCTTCCTGTCCTACCCTCAGGTGCTTTGGAGAGTAGTTTGACTCCCTCTTCTTTGTGGCAGCCCCTGAGATTTTGGAACACTGCTATCACGTCACCCCTAGTCCTTCTTTTCATTAAACTAGACATACCCATGGCTGTCCAGTTTCTTCTTGAAAGCCTCTAGTGATGAAGCACCCACAATTTCCAGAAGTAAGTCATTCCACTGATTAATCATTCTCAATGTCAATAAATTTATCCTTATTTCTAAGTTTGGATCTCTCTTTTAATTATCTCCCCCCACCCCATTACTTCTTGTCCTGCATCTGGACTTTGGAGAATAGGATGAACATCACCACCCCCTCTTTTTGTGGCAGCCCCTCAAGTATTGGAACACTGCCATCATATCACCCCTAGTCCTTCTCTTTATTAGACTAGACATAGCTAGTTCCCTCAATCAGTCATCCCAGAGTTTAGCTTCCAGATCCCCTTCTTCAGAGAAGGCAGGGAGCTTGTCACTGGCTGGTACCATGTTCTACCCTTTCAATTCGGGAACTGTCCATAATTCCTGTGAGGTTTCCAGGGTTTTGAGATCAACTGCAACAAGAACATACACAGGACAAATGTAAACAGTTTCTCAAAATTAGGGGAATAAAAATAAGAATTTAAGAATTTAAGTAAAATTTCAGATGGATTATAACTTTGTTTTAGATGGGAAAGACCCATCTTGTCATATATCCATGTCCCATAAAAGTGTTACCCAAGTTTGAAAAGTTAACAGCAGTTTGTAATATGTGTTCAGAATCACCTTATTTAAAGAAATGCACAATACTCAAGGAGATATTTTTCAGTACAATAAGTAATACATAATTCCAACTGGAAATTATAAAAGTATGTCAAAAAGGAGAAAACTAATTGAAATATGACATGAGAAAAATATCTTACTTTTGTAATTAGAATAATTTATTTATGTAATATACTCATATGCACATTTATATAATATATATATATATATTTTAATACAAGATATCTTCTTCTTTTGCAAAACAAAACAAAAAGTCCAGTATCACTTTGCAAATATTATGCAGCCACTTTGGGAGAGTTAGTTTGGTTTTCTTGGCTTTTTTGTTCTGCAGTAGGTCCAAGAGTTAATGCATTCAGCTCAGAGTTGTAATAGTTGTCTTCTAATAAACTATAGCGCTATATATGTGGAGAAATCCCAGTTTTAATCAAGTGTCCTTCAAAAGGGTTCCAACTGTTACCAGTGCACTCCTTTCTCCTCTTTGAATAACATATGCCAAATCAATATCCTCCTGACATCATCTTTAAATCAACATGCAATCAATTCCAGTCACAGGCTCTATTCTGCGCCCTTTCTTCAGCTGTGTTGAAATATCATAACTTCAAGGAGTAATGTCAGAACTCCAAATAACTATTTACTCAACTCTTCTAGAAATTAAAATTAAGGATTACATCCCTGTCATTAGCAAAATGTATTTTTAATCTTTCAGAGTTTAGACCAAATGAAGGGTTCTGGAGCGCTGTAGCCTTGGTTAGATAACTGTAGTATATGAATCCTTATCTCAAAATCTATCCTGTAGATTTGTTTTAAAATTCAATTTTATTGCAGGAATCAGTTCTTGAATCCAATAATCTAAGAAATAAGTAATTCTGTTAGCCTGCTATATATTATAATATTAATAGCCATTCTTATTTCATCTGCATAGATATTGTCATTTTTTTTAAATGCCACTGAAATTACAAAAGAACAGGTTTAAGATTAGGAAAAGGTTTTTATATAGGTATTTTTCTAAACTGTACCAATTTCTTTCATGGCTTCAGCTTGCAGGAAATAAGGCACTTGTATACACATATACAACAAGCAAGTGAAAGTGGTATTTTTCCTCGTTATACATCAGCATTTCTGATATAGTGGCAGGAGCTGTCCTCTGAATCTTAACATCATTATCATTCATCATTGTCATCTTTCCCCACGGAACTGTAACCATGTTAGAGATGATAGTCAGTGCAATGTTTTTCAAGCACGCAAAGTCATTTGAAAAAAATCACCATTCAAGCAAAGGAAACATATACTGTTGGAAAATCCATCTGAATATCTGGGCACAATGTTGACTTTTGTGAGGATTTTTTCTTCCATATCTTAGGTAGAGTTCTCAATGTCTTACCTTGGGAAGAAAACACATGTGTCTATCAATAGTTAAAGAAAAAAACAGCCTCATTTGGACATATATTTGTTGAGCATATTCCACATTACAAAAGCATGACAATTATCATGGCCAAAGGTGGCTTGAAAAATAATAAACAGATCCTGAGTCCACACTACATTGTGTGATTACTGTGCAGACACTAGGTCAACTGTTTCTCAACCTTAACAACTTGAAGAGGTATGGACTTCAACTCCCAGAATTCTTCTTCTGAATGGCTTCTGAAGTTGAAGTCAACGTACCTTTGAGTTGCCAAAGAAATACTGCTCTAAGTACTTAAACTGGGAGTAGTTGCACCCGAGAAAGTGATTTGGATATATCTTGGAGGTAATAATGCAATATGTAATTCATTGTTTGTGACATAAGGATCCATCTTGAGACTACTGCTCCAGATGCTTGGGTACACAATAAGACAATAAAGTCTGGAATATGTGTCTGTGTTTGTTTGTGTGTTAATTACATGATTTGAGACTGGGAAAAGGGGTTATTGGGTCAACCAACAAATCTATAACATCAAAATAGCATTTGAAAAAAATCAATTTTAAATTTTCATTGCTTTTTTCCCCAACTACCCCTGCCTTAACAAAAGTGTCATGTCTGGTGTGAAGAGAATTTCTACCTCTTAGAGAAGAGGTGCAGAGCCTAAAACCTTAAAAGCCTCTAGAGGTCTAAAGGCTACCTTTCTAAATGCTGCAACTGAACAATGATTTATATTACTGCAGAATAATTTAAAATACTGAATGTAAATAATTTAGTAAATGATGAAATGCATAGGACAGCATCAGCTTAATTGTATTTAATTCATTTTGTTTGCTCTTAGTTACAATTATGTTTCTAGTCTTGGTTCCATCCATTTTTTGTCCTGACTCATCCGCGTCCTGGAGTGCAGATCCAATCCCTTAGACAATAACTGAGTACACTCTCAGAATGAACACAGTTGTACATTCCTGCCCTAGAGATTAATATGAACGTCTCCATTTGGACTCTCCGAAATCTTATAGGACAGTAGCAGAATAAATTTTTGTTATGAGTCCATCTCCATTTTTCCTTTGGTCGTGCCCTACAACTGAAAGAAATGTTGTGTAGTACTGAAGTAACTGGCTTGAGATTATTTATTATTAAGCAGAAAACTTTAAAATATTAGGGATATTAGGAATGTTTCTGCAAGAATCAAATGTATGAGATAAGTTTTTTAAAAAAAATCAGTACAGGGATACACATTCAAATCCAACAGAAGATATTCTACTGCCTCCTTTAAAACATTCACACATTGATTCTGAAAAGTAAAGCAGAACATAACAAGAGAATGAGATTATGGAACCTTCCACAAAGAGTAATCTTTTTGTTCTCTTGTTCCTTCCTAGGCCCTCTTTCCTCTTCTAAAGAAAAATCTCAAAATCATTTGAGATCTTGAAAGATAGCTCAGAGTTCTCCAAGAAGGTTTCAGTATCTCAAAAGATTTTAGTGTTCAGAAGAAAAATCCCACAATATAGCTTACTCCCAGATATCCATGCACAAGACAGCAGTTATTTTATTCCTCAAAATGGAGACACTGCTCTTCTAGTACACAATGCTGGCTGAATGTAGATCTGAACAAATACTATTGCAGAGATGAACAAATCTCTCAGAAGGGTACTTCAAAAAGGGAGCAAAGCATCTTTCTGAATGCAACCCTTAAAGCAACAAAAAGATGCATCATTAAACCATGATTCATAATTGCATCTCCTGATTCCTCATACAACCACACATTCTCATAATTAACATAGATCATACCTCTCCAGTTCAAACCAGGGGAATTTTTCTAAGTTACTGGGTAAGAGCACGCTTTTCTTCTTGAAGAAGAGCTCTTTCTGCTGGGTAATTCATTTGCTTCAGATGATTGCTGGGGATGAGAAGTGTTTTTTAAAAATATATGCTTTTATCCACTGGAAGGTACCGTAGCGTATGTAGAATATGTCTTGAAAGGTGAGATAAACATAAGAAGGGAGGCAGAAAAATAAATGAATCAAATCCGGCCAATTCCAAACAGAAGATTGAAACCCAGCTACTGTTTTATATGTTCTTTTTTTCAAGAGTGCTGGATTAAGCAAATGTTGTCTAACCAAAAAATAGAGAACACTTTCTCTCTTCTTGCCCTCCAGTTCTCTCTTACCACCAGCCCATTTTCTCATTTTCCAGCTCTCTCTTTTCCTTTCTTCCTTTTCCCACCTAATCATTTGCAGTTGAACAAAGGGAAATGGTCTGAACCAGAAACATGAACCAAATGTATTTCATATTGAACAATGCTTATCACTCATTCTTATTGCATCAAAGAAGCCAACAAGATATTCTTTACATAGATATTACTATGTTCTTTTATTTTTTCTATATTCAATAAATTAGCTATGATAATCTGCTAGGCTTGCCTGATCTTAGCTGAAACGTGGATATTCAGCCTTTTTAATATACACTGCTCAGGGCAACTTGTAATAGAAATAAAAATCTCAAGGTTCCAATAATTTTCTGTACAAACCTAAATAATTTTAAGAATCTCTTTGTAGCTCTTAAACATAAGTTTACAAAAAAAGAAAGAAAGAAAGAAAAGAAAGAAAGATCCAAAGAGGAGCATAAAGTAGAATCTACATGGGTTAAATTGATCAGAGTTATCCAACAATGCCAAAACTTTCACCAATGACAAAACCTTTAAGAATATCAAAGTTTCTACATTAAATCAGATCAAGGTGAGCTACTTCCTCTGTCCATTATCAACAGTACGAGCCAGATGCTTTGAAAAGCTCATACTATACCTTCAACTTTACTATTTACTCAGTTTCTTCTCAACAAAAAAAGGTTCCAAATAACTCTCAAAGGCAATAAGCATTAGGAATGGATGAAACTTCAACTCAAAACTTTGATTTGCTTGAAGCAGCTTTTCAGACAATTGATCTTCCAATCAATTTGAAAAGTGGACTTTTACATAAGAATATACATGTTTCTGTTGTATTGCATTTTCAAATTAAATTAATATCATTATTTAAACTGAGTCTTCCAACTTCAGCTTCCAAAGAAAACACACACATCAATAGACAAGTGTCCACAAATCTGTCACAGCATTTAAAATCCACCTAAGCCCTTCTTATGTGGGCATTCATCCATGTGGGAGCACCTTCCATGACGCTGTGCCATGCAACTGTAGCATGTATGGGAATTTTCATGATCACACAAGCTGTGCCAATCATCTGTGTTCCCTAGCACAACTAGTGTTTTCCCATCCTAAATAGATGGAAAGGTACTCTATTAAGGCAAACATTTCCAGTGAATAATTTCTGCATCAGAAAGATATTTCTGATGTAACTGGATCTGTAGGAATAAAAGACCTGTGCTTTAAAGGGAAAGGGTATATACCAGTGCTGGGTTTCAATTTATTTTATTACTGGTTTGCTCATTCATGTACACACGCAGAAGCATCCCACCGTCACCACTACCGGTTCGCCAAATCCGGGGCGAACCGGCAGAAACCCACCTCTGGTATATATCTTTCCATGTTTTCCAGTTTTTAACAGATGCAGATGTTTGGTTGCATTTTTGCCACAGTGGAGTCAGCGAGTTGGATGACTATATAAATCTGTTTAATAAATAAAAATGAATTTTAATAACTTCTTTTAAATTATTTAGTTGTGTATGTTACTGTTATATCTCTCTCAATATAAAATGATGAAATAAAAAGTTTCAATCTCTAATGTAGTTTTTGAAACATCCATTTGTTTCTTAATTACTTTCCTTTAATAAATCAGGTTTCTAATATTAAGGGGCAAGAGGTAGAAATCTCTTTTCATTCTCCCAAGCCATGTGTTAGTTCTTTGAAATATCAAGGTATCTTACCATTGGACACTCCATGTGCAAAACTGCATGCACAACTTGTCATGTCGATCTATGCAAGAGCAGCGTGATGGAGATCTTTCTGATGAATGCAAACTCTTGTGGAACTGCTCTGTGGACCTTTTGACCCGGAAATTTCCCCTGTAATTAGCCAACCCATATGGAACAGTTTTCCTGTAACAAGAGATGCAGAAATATCATTAGATTTCAAAATTATTATTACAATTTCGCCTATAAATAAGTAAGTGAATGAGGGATAGGAGCTCTGGTGGGAACAGTAGTAGAAAAATCTGGAAATTCTTCTCCAAACCAAATTAAAATCCACCGCTAAAATGAGTAAGAAGCTTAATAATGTTCACCTATATTTTGACTTCTAAAGAGAAAGGAAAGAAAACTTTACCAGGAGGCCCTAAGACTTCTACCTGAACCTAAGTTCGGCATGTCTCATGGCAGAATTTCTATGTCAGATATGCTGGAAAACAGAGAGATATAGGTTACTTACTAATTGCCAACCTGTCATCTTAGGCAATAGACATTCCAGACCTCAAGCACATGTGCAGTCTTATTAGTTTTCAAGTGGGGCGTCCAGGGGGAGGGGGGAAAGATCACATATAAAGTCTGGAAGATGCCTTCTCCCATTACATTCACTTAGCTGCAACAAGTCACTTCTAATTTATGTGATCCAAACCAACCATCTGAAAATGTAGTGGAGTTTAATTTTGAAAAAGATGATAAACCTCTTTCTTTTCTTTGTTTTCCAAAAAGGAGAAATTTCTCTTATTCAATGTGGTTTTCTGCTCATACAGAATTTAAAATTTTCAACATGATTTTATTTTATTCCTTTTAGAATTTAAGAAATCAAATCACCTAAAGTTCTCATGGAATTTCAGCAACAAAACTTCAAACTTTAATTATTGAGGAAGGACTAAGTACTTTACAGTAGAATATAACCTAGTTTATTCTAGATCTCGCAAAGAACAGAATTGACTACCTGACACATTTAGAATACAACGAACAGGAATAGGAAGGAATAAATAAATTGATAGTAGCTTGTTTGTGCTAATGTTTTTCAGAAAACATATTGGTTTCCCCCCCAAAAAAATCCATCAAACTTTTCAGCAAGCAAAAACATGACCAATTTCTATTGAAATATAGTAGTGTCTTTATGGGAATAAAGGCACTGTGGTGGCTCAGCGGTTAAGATGCTAGGCTTGTTGGATGACCTGAGCTCCACATGATGGAATAGCTCCCATCCTCAGTACAATACAATACAATACAACAGCAGAGTTGGAAGGGACCTTAGAGGTCTTCTAGTCCAACCCCCTGCCTAGGCAGGAAACCCTATACCATTCCAGACAAATGGCTATCCAACATCATCTTAAAGACTTCCAGTGTTGGGGCATTCACAAGTTGCTTATCCTAGCTCATCCTAGCTCCTGTCAACCTAGCAGTTCGAAAGCATATAAATGCAACCTGATAAATAGGTAATACTTTGGTGGGAACATAACAACGCTCCATGATGTCGTGCTGGCCACATGACCACGGAAATGTCTTCAGACAATGCTGGTTCAATGGTCCTGAAACAGAGATGAGCATCACCCCCTATAGTCAGCAACGAGTAAAATCCACAGGCATTCCCAATATTTACAATGGGAACAGAGGAAAAGAGAAAGCATTTATCAAGAACTTCAACTATCAATGTGTGCATTTCATAGTTCTTTAGAAGGACAGAATTTGTTTTTAAAGCCAGTTTAGTCCTTAATTAATTCAAAAACTGTGCAACCTTGTAATCACTGTGTTTTAGATGCATGCAGTTAGTTCCAGAGTACTCAGCTTCCTACATACCACCTTATAAGACTTCATGACTGGGAGAACATGGATTAAATTACTGTAGAAATGGGATAATATTCACCATTGGCAGAAATTAAGGCTATCTAAGTAATTAAGCATTGCAGTGAATTAAATCCAAATAAACTAGCATCGAATTTTGCTGTGGATAGTTAAGAGTCTACATGTATTCAACTCTTTTCCCTCTATGATTTATTAAAGTATGTTTTTACTAAAGGAGAAAAGAATAAGCATGGCAAAAAAATTAAAACATATTATGCAACAAACTACATATGAATATGAGTGTAAGGGGATATGTTTGACATATAACCATATGAGACATATTCATTTCAGGAAAAACTGAATTACCTAAGATATAACTTTGAGACTTTGGGATTTTGGCTTTTGTTTTGAAATCGAGATATATTTGCCAGCTATTAATCTCAAGAGTTTATCAAATGAACAGCAAACACAACCATTAAAAACAGCTAACCAAGTAACATGTGGAAATCATACAAAATCTTAAATTGTGCAGTCATTGGCCTATTTAACATTTAATTTAGCAAATACTGCCTTATGCCAAACGTATCTAGCTCCATCTAATCTTTCCTGATAAAATCAAATTTTAACTTGTATCAATTATGCTATATATTTAACAAGAGAATAGGGAGGCTGAATTTAGGAACTTCAGAACACAATGCTATGTGGTCACCTTCTTGTATCTGGTGTCCTTTAATGGCCCAACCATAGTGACTATCACCATTGGAAATTATAGCAGCTGGCACAATTCACTTTCAGGGCTTCAAGTAAAGAAAAAAAAAGGCTGCCTGCCACTTTAGGAATAAGCAGGACAGGATGCATTGAATTATCAGTACTACACCCAAACAATCTGGCCATGTTTGAAATAAAATAATAACAACATAAAATAAGAAAAGAATAAAATTGACATTAGAAATGGTAATACCAAAAGAAAGGAAGGAATGTTGCACTCCCTGTGATAGAAAGGGGTGCTTAGTTTCTGAATAAAAAAAACACAAAGGTCCATTTTATTGTGTAAACATAAGGAGGAATTTATCAAACAGTTCATTTCTATTAGTGTGAGTTAAACAAAGGCTCTTACTACAAGCTTTAATCAGCTCACCCTTATAATGCCTGAGTTAAACCCAACCCCATAAATAATCAATATCAAAAAATAATTGTCTGCACCTATGTTTCTTTTTTGTGGGACCACACTGTTTATATTCCTATTCCCATTTCAATGGGAAGTATTATTCCCTAATTAAGATAAAAATTTAATATATTTTATACAAGCAGGTATAATCCATAATGTTTATGCTGCAACAAATTCATTAATCTTTAAATTACCATACAAAGAATTTGGGCATCAGATACCCATTTTGTGGGCATCATGGTTGAGTATCAGACTGCCATCTGGTAAAAGAAATTCTGCAACATTGGTTACAAACTATGATTTCACTCAGCAATGTAAATCGAGCAGATCTATCATTTATTTTGTAACTCCTGTAAAGAATATTAAATTCCAAAGCTCAATGATAAATTAGAATCAGGACCATACACACAAGTCCTGTCTGGTAAATAACATGCTTCTCATATTTTGTTTAGCCAAAGTTATGCTACTTCTCTTAGCAACAATTATCAAGATATTGTCTGAATTCAATCTCCATGTCTGTATGGAAATTATATGAAAAAATAAAATGTTACATTAATTAGTGGTTTAAAAGAGCAAGCAAATATGCATATCCCTCCCCATTTAATTACAAAGAGATTTAGTTAAATGTAATTCTGCCAATATTTTGGAAAGGAATCAAACCAAAACAATGTCAATAATACTTTTGAGGAGATCAAACCCTTTTAGGTTTCAGGAAAGGAAGAATACATAAGAGTTTCCACTTTAACTGGAATTAAATACTTTAATTTTGGAACACATTTTGCAACCAGAGTACTCCTATGAGATTCACATAATATGAAAGTATTTGTATACAATTTGTATTTGTATGAACTATTCCTGTAATAGTCTGTGATGTTTTCAGTAGACATCACCAAGAAATTTACTATGAGTTTTGATGTTTTGGTTTCTCTGGAGAATTGAATAATTATTTGGTTCAATTAGAATGATAAAAATATTCTCCCAAAATAGTCTTGCACTATTGCCTCTTAGGCTGATTCGTGTAAATCTGTTTTGTTAATTTTCTTTAATACCTTTTAACCAAACTATTCCAGTTCCATCTGACTTCAGTAAGTTTCCCAGATTCAGCCCTTGTTTCTGCATTCTGAGATTAGTCATACTAATGCTGCTTCTTCTACTACTACTGTGTCTAGCTCACATTTTAAACTGCCAGAATTAAGCCACCTTCTTGGCTTTGTCATTGGCCAAAAATAAGTCATTATCAGTACATATCTCTGGTAGTAGTCAACATACCAGCAGATGAGCTGTGCTCTTCATATAGGGGGTTGATATCTGCTAAGCGACTCCACTTAAGAATATTGGTTTTACATTTAGGCACTCCAACTCTCAATCTATTCCGAGTCCTCCAAGTAGTATAAGGAAGATCAGATCCTTCAGCCATAATTTCCTTTAATAACAATAGCACTTAAGACTTATATACCGCTTTACAGTGCTTTATAGCCCCCTCTAAGCAGTTTACAGAATCAGCATATGTTATTCCTTGCATAGTGGTCTCCTTTCTCCATCTTTTAATTCGATTTTGCTCTTGTGTATGCTCAATAATATTTATTATTGCTATAAAGCTATTCTTAGATCTGAGTGGTGGGCTTGAGGTACATGTCCACTCAGAGGTTGTTGAGGATCATTCCCTTGCTTAGTTCTCTTGGCATCTGTTGCTACTTATCTCCTGATCTTAGATAGGGCAATGCCAGCTAGAGGATATATTTTCTCAATTGGTGAATTGAGTACTGCTTCACTGACGGAGATAGCAACTTTTTTTGCATATGCATATGCGTCCCACAATGGAGCAGGATACTCTGCTGCAGAGATGCTCAAGACCAAAGCTGATCTGCGTAATGTAGATGGTTGAGCTCCCAATGATATTGATCTCCTGATATTGTTCCTCAAGCTGACTTTAGTCTTAGTGTTAGGCAATGTTTAAAAATGAGCATCCTGTTGAGTATCATGCCAAGATACTTTGATGTTGGACAGTGCTGTAGTCGGTTCAGGAATGCTGTCAGAATTATTGAGATAATTTACATAAAATGTGATAAGGACTGAAAGGAATAAATGTCAAATATCAAGAAACCTTCAAAATGACAAAGATTATGAAGAAACATTATGAAAACCTTTTGACATCTGAAATGCTTACAAAGAAACA